GGGGGGGGACTGCAATACTATTTGCAAAAAAAGTTTTCTTCTAGCTAGTTTTTACAGAAAAATGTGGAGAAATAAATTAACTGATCAATTTTCAGTGTTTTTATTTATTCAATTTCAAATGCTCCTCCATGGACGGATAATACTTTGAACGTTGCACGTTGCAACGACTGGAAACTTGTATAAACATGCTTTCAAATCCATTTAGGAAAATGAAGACTGAAATTGGGAACATGCAGGATCATTTTTCAAGACTGGGAACAGGACCCTATAAACACCTGGCAAAAACCTTACGGGGTTTGTTAGCATAGGTTCCTTTCCCTTTTCGCCATACTCTACAATGGGAACACTGGAGACACGAACTGTTCGCTCTACTCTACAATGGGAACACAGGAGACACGAACTGTTCATACTCTACAATGGGAACACTGCAAATACGAACTGTTCATACTCTACAATGGGAACACAGGAGACACGAACTGTTCATACTAAACAATGGGAACACTGCAGTCATGGAGTGTTCATACTCTACAATGGGAACACTGCAGACACGGGCAGTTCATACTCTACAATGGGGACACTGCAGACACGGACAGTTCATACTCTACAATTGGAACACTGCAGTCACGGACAGTTCATACTCTACAATGGTAAGATGGCAGACACGGACAGTTCATACTGTACAATGGGAACACTGCGGACACGGGCAGTTCATATTCTACAATTGGAACACTGCAGACACGAACAGTTAATACTCTACAATGGTAAGATGGCAGACACGGACAGTTCATACTCTACAATGGGAACATTGCAGACACGAACAGTTCATACTCTACAATGGTAAGATTGCAGACACGGACAGTTCATACTCTACAATGGGAACACTGCAGACACGGACAGTTCATACTCTACAATTGGAACACTGCAGACACGGACAGTTCATACTCTACAATGGGGACACTGCAGACACGGACTTTTCTCTCTACTCTACAATGGGAACACTGCAGTCACACAATGTTCGGCTTATATGAGGCCGATTCTCTTGATTAGCCTATCGGGGCTAGTAACAATAGCCATTCTTTGTCCTTTAATTCTATATTCAGATATATCGACGATGCGCTGTCTTTAAAAACAATAACATTATTGACCACCTCGACGGCATATGCCCTCATTAGCTTAAAATCATAGACACAACAGACTCTTCTACTTCTTCCTCGATATTTACAACATGATCAAAAGGGACGACTTGCCTCTAAGCTGTACGATTGCGGGATGATTCCGATTCTCCTATCGTGAATTTTCCCGTTCTTGATGATAACGTCATTGCCCCGCATTGCCTGGCTTCCGTGATACTAGTAGATGTCGAATGCTGGTGGACCATCTTGCAACACAGGTTTCCAAAACATGCAGGTTCATGAAGACTATTGACAAGTTTCTCGGTCGTCACCATGATCTCATCATGAAATATGCTATTCAATCATTGTGTGTTATGAATGTCGATGTGTTTCAGTATGCTCATTTGTGGGACTTGTGGTTTTATTGTTACTAACATAGTCTCTGCACGAGGACGTGACATTACCTGGATTTGACCTAGATTTACGTGGCAAATGTTGCCGATGAGGCAGTAGTCGCTAACCCTTCAGGAACACATGGTCTTATTCTCCTGGTACCTTTTCAAAGGTCTCCTTGTAAAATGCTCTTATCCTTCCCAAGTTTTAGCGATTTTGAGTTCGAATTATGTTTTTGTTGGCATGGTTTTCTCTTTTATTTTATGTATTTTGTTAATGTTTCAGATGAGAAAATATTAAGGTAACCACAGACGCATAAACTGTAGTTAAAATCAAGCAACCTGCATTAAGTAGAGTGACCCATAACCTGTGTATGGACATACCAGGGTGTTTTTTAAATATTAACACGAGGGAATGTTATTGGATATTTTCATTGATTAAGATGGCTGTCGGTATCATGTCGTGTTATTAAGTACGCCTGGTGGTATTCTATTTAAACAGGAACTTGTGGATACCATTTACACTGCAAAGATCTGGCCGGATTAAATGTTAAAAATCTCATTTTTTGAATGATAGGATGTATAATACCCAAAGGACGTCCCTAGTGAATAATAAGCACACTATTTATCATGTAATTCTGTGGAACCTATACACACGGCACGAGGATTGCCTTTCAGTTGATCAACACATACTCTGTGGTAAATCCACCGATAGTGCTTGTGACACCTGGAATGGAGATGGCATTTATTCTGATTTTTTAAATGTATTCCAAGGTAAAAGAATTAAAAGTTACATCATGAAATATTTGTGCAACATATCTGATGACGTCAACACTAGTAGACCTGGAATGCAGACTAGGGTTTAAGAAACATGGTTTAATGATAAACATGACGACACGATTTTTCATTTAATCAATTATGATTTGATTCGTCAGGATCGTACAAGTAAAGTAGGGGCAGGAGAAACATGTTATGTGAACAGTGATCAGTCCTATGTTATGTGGAGTTATTGGTTAAAACTGAAGCCAGGGCCTGTATTCATGAAACTGTTTTCCTGCTCAAACATGAATTGTGTGCTCAAGCTAACATGGTCAACAGTCAGGTGTAAACATCGAAAACAGTGTAACCTGGTCAACAGTCAGGTGTAAACATCTAAAACAGTGTAACATGGTCAACAGTCAGTTGTAAACATCGAAAACAGTGTAACATGCTCAACAGTCAGGTGTAAACATCGAAAATAGTGTAACATGGTCAACAGTAAGGCGTAAACATCGAAAACAGTGTAACATGGTCATCAGTCAGGTGTAAACATCGAAAACAGGGTAACATGGTCAACAGTCAGGTGTAAACATCGAAAACATTGTAACATGGTCAACAGTCAGGTGTGAACATCGAAAACAGTGTAACATGGTCAACAGTCAGGTGTAAACATCGAAAATAGTGTAACATGGTCAACAGTATGGCGTAAACATCGAAAACAGTGTAACATGGTCAACAGTCAGGTGTAAACATAGAAAACAGTGTAACATGGTCAGCAGTCAGGTGTAAACATCGAAAACAGTATAACATGGTCAACAGTCAGGTGTAAACATCGAAAACAGGGTAACATGGTCAACAGTCTGGTGTAAACATCGAAAACAGTGTAACAAGGTCAACAGTCAGGTGTAAACATCGAAAACAGTGTAACATGGTCAACAGTCAGGTGTAAACATCGAAAACAGTGTAACATGGTCAACAGTCAGGTGTAAACATCGAAAACAGTGTAACATGATCAACAGTCTGGTGTAAACATCGAAAACAGTGTAACAAGGTCAACAGTCAGGTGTAAACATCGAAATCAGTGGAACATGGTCAACAGTCATGTGTTAACATCGAAAACAGTGTAACATGGTCAACAGTCTGGTGTAAACATCGAAAACAGTGTAACAAGGTCAACAGTCAGGTGTAAACATCGAAAACAGTGTAACATGGTCAACAGTCAGGTGTAAACATCGAAAACAGTGTTACATGGTCAACAGTCATGTGTTTACATCGAAAACAGTGTAACATGGTCAACAGTCAGGTGTTAACATCGAAAACAGTGTAACATGGTCAACAGTCAGGTGTTAACATCGAAAACAGTGTAACATGGTCAACAGTCAAGTGTTAACATCGAAAACAGTGTTACATGGTCAACAGTTAGGTGTAAACATCGAAAACAGTGGTCGACTTGAAGTCTTTCCCATTGACAAAAGCATTTGTTTTATTAATTGAGCATAAAATCTGGGTCTGAGCGTGATAACGGTTTAATGTATACGAACCAGGTCTTACTAAACCCATCATAACAGGGAACCACACACGAATGAGTGGATGGAGAGGTTAAAATGACCGCTATAACAATTGCTTTACTCGCTGTACTGAGCAAGGTGGCTTTTGTATCGACCGAACTTGGACAACACACACTGAAAGTGAAGCTTCAGAGGAGGACCACACGAGGCACACACATGTACAAACTATACCATGGTATATTGGATATTTCATTCCACGGATAATATACTTTCAGGTTTTCAGTTAATATTTCTTTTGTAACCGATAAATATATATATATCCACCAATCAGAGAACAACGATTGGTGAATGGTGAATTAAGGAATTAATTTGCTATTCAAATAGTATAATTATATACTGTAGAATAACTTGGTGGCGATACATTTTTTTATATTGCAAATGGATGTTTCGTTTGTTGTCAAAATCTGGTTTGGATGATATCAGTGTAGTAATTTTAAGATTATGTGCCGAAAACATGGCTCGAGTTTTGAACAAAATATGGAGTTGTTGCACTGAAACTTAAACATTTCCTAATATTCCTAATATAGATGAGAACTTAACAAGAGTATGCCCTTTGTTAAAACAAGAGGCCCAGAGGGCCTGAATCGCTCACATGAATATGTTTAAAATAATTTGTATGAAGTAAAGATAAAGCACTCCATGGAAGGTGCTGTAAGTACATATTAAATTTCAGAAAGATCCATCCAGTTCTTGAGATATAGCGAGAACAATCTTTAAACAGAGCCCCACCCCTATGGGGGTCATACCCACCGTTTATACAAAATTAAGACCCCTTGGCCCAAGGATGCTCAAGACTAAATAATGATAAAATCCCTTAATCCCGATGGTCGAAGAAGGATTTTAAAGGTTTTACCTCTATTTCTCCTATTGGGCCTCGCCCTTCTGTCCCCTGGGAGACCACAACCACTGCTTATACAAAACTGAGTCCCCTTGGGCCAAGGAAGCTCCAGACTAAATTAGGATAACATTCCTTAATCCCTATGGTAGAAAAAGGATTTTAAATGTTTTACTTCTATTTCCCATATTGGCCCCGCCCCTCAGGTCCCAGGGGGGCCACATCCACGGTTTATACAAAATTGGTTCAACTTTACCCCAGGATGCTCCACACCAAATATGGAACAAATCCTTTCATTCCTACAGAAAAAGAAGGATTTTAAAGAATAATTTGCTATGTTTCCCCTAATTGGCCCCGCCCCTCAGGCCCCTGGGAGACCACACCCACGGTTTATACAAAATTGGTTCCCCTTCACCAAAGGATGCTTCACACCAAATATGGAACAAATCCTTTCATTCTTACAGAAGGACGAGGATTTTAAAACATTTGCTATAATTTCCCTATTCGGCCCGACCCCTCAACCCCCAGGAGGCAAGACCCACCGTTTATACAAAATTATTTACCCTTCACCCAAGAATGCTTCAGACCAAATATGGACCAAATCCTTTCATTCCTACAGAATAAGAAGGATTTTAAAGAATTTGCTATGTTTCCCCTATTGGGCCCCGTCCCTAAGGCCCCTGGGAGCCAGACCCGCAGTTTATACAAAATTGGTTCCCCTTCACCAAAGGATGCTTCAAAATCTACTTGGCCGTTTTAAAGGGAAAGTTGACGGACCGACGACGCACGGACGGACGGACGCTGCGGTATGGCATAAGCTCACCATGGTCCTTCGGACCAGGTGAGCTAAAAAGATGGTCTGGGGTGGATGTTGTGGTATCTGTGATGTAGCATTCAAGTGAGGTGGCATTAGAAAAGATGCTGTTGGAAGCACGGTCCCACTACAAACAGAACACAATACATCTCCAGCACACACGCAGGCATACACACATAGGGAGATATTAGCTAGGTGGCATAGGACTAGTAGTTAGCACGTCCTGATAAGGCAGCTCCTGCGAATTCCTCAAAAATTGTATATCCTAACTGTATTAATTGTATATCCATGTACTGTAAAGCGCTTTAGAGTGGCTTATGTTATCTAGATAGGGCGCTATATCAAATGTTGTATATTATTTTTTATTATTATCGTCATTAGTGTCCATTTTCGTGACGTACTTCCGGAAAAAGTACAGCTCGGACTCAATTATCTCGAACGAAATGTGCATGTACACCGTGTCGTCATTTCGATATTGCGTATCGGTCATTTCAATACCGCAGTGTAAATCATGGTAACCTCGGGTAAACAATAGTACACGTGCGTGACCATGATATGTCAACATCCAATATCGAGATTTTGTTTGGAAATGTGTAATCAAGCGTACTATAGGATTAAACTTCCAAAAACTGACTCGCAGGAAGACACTGACATGAGACCAGACGACTTCAAGAAGGTCATATATGAAGCGCATGGAATGCAGACAGATGTAATGTGTGTACCGACCTCACATGTGCATATCACGTGCTTACACGAGTTCACAAGCTCGATGTCGTTACGATATTCGCTGTTGAGCGAGTTTTCGCTCTGTCGATTGTACAAATGCAATGCACTTACTCTGTGAAAATAGTGTTTTGTAAAATATCAAGATCACGTGAGAGCTATAGCCTCTGGTCGCAAATATGTACCTACCGTGCGTTAGCGGGCTGTGAGATGATGTCAAAAGTGTACATGACTGAGAGTAATTTAGTTAAATAAAAGAACAATAAATTGACAATTTTAATATAATAATATTAATTTATTTCCATCACTTTGATATATCCCTCTGCAAAAAGGATCACAAATCTCACCAGGATCAAAGTGATTGTAAAATGTAAAATAAATAAATTATAAAGTCATCGTGTTTATTTTGTTCAATTTCCCACTCTTTATGTACGGATCTTTGTGTCCTGTTTGCTTTTAGCTCGTAGATAATCACTTTCATCCGTGCAATTTTGATAAAAAAAAACAATTTGTGTAACGTGTTTTATATATTTTGCAATAAATAAAATATTTGTTAAGTTAATAAGCAATGCTTCTTTTCATTTTTTATTGTTGTTATGGTTCCGAACAATGCCACACACACAAAAAAACGGAAAATATTAAAACTGACGTAAACTCAATTTAGGTATTTGTTTCCCAAAAAGTCCCTTAACTGTTGGAATGCTAAGATTTTAATAAAATCAACTCTACATAGTTGCATAACCATTATATGAAAGATTCAACGAATTTCGCTGGTTACTTTCAAAGTGTGGAGCCTCCGTAAAATAATAGACCAGTCTCTGCTTTTCCTGTACTCAACAGCTCCTAGTGGGTATACGTATGTCCCAGGGATCGAGACTCGGTACTCTGATGTTCATTTTGTGTGTTAATGGTTTACCTCGCTAAAACGGTTTTTCACGCATGTACATTAATTATATACCACAGTTCGGTCTATTGACTAGTCCGGTGATGCTATACACAACTATATTTACTAGCAATCTATATTTATCTGCACATACTAACGTAAGGGCAAACAATCGGCAACAGTGTGTCGTTATGAATGACACTGTGACTTTAGACATAAAAGGACCTTTTGAACAAGATCCCGTGACAACTATCATCAATACGAAACAAACATTTAACAGTCTCTCAAATAAGTACAAACTCCACCCAGTGACAATTATACTCCACCCAGTGACAATTATACTACAACCAGTGACAATTATACCCCACCCAGTGACAATTGTACTCCACCCAGTGACAATTATACTCCACCCAGTGACATTTATACTCCACCCAGTGACAAGTATACTTAACCCAGTGACATTTATACCCCACCTAGTGACATTTATACTCCACCCAGTGACAATTATACTCCAACCAGTGACAATTATACTCCACCCAGTGACAATTATACTCCACCCAGTGACAATTATACTCCTAGTGACATTATACTCCACCCGGTGACAATTATACTCCACCCAGTGACAATTGTACTCCACCCAGTGACAATTATACTCCACCCAGTGACATTTATACTCCACCTAGTGACAATTATACTCCACACAGTGACAATTATACTCCACCCAGTGACATTTATACTCCACCTAGTGGCAATTATACTCCACCCGGTGACAATTATACTCCATCCAGTGACATTTATACTCCACCCAGTGACAATTATACTCCACCCAGTGACATTTATATTCCACCCAGTGACAATTATACTCCACTCAGTGACAATTATACTCCACCCAGTTACAATAATACTCCACCCAGTGACATTTATACTCCACCTAGTGACAATTATACTCCACCCAGTGACAATTATACTCCACCCAGTGACATTTATACTCCACCCAGTGACAATTATACTCCACCCAGTGACAATTATACTCCACCCAGTGACATTTATACTCCACCCAGTGACAATTATACTCCACCCAGTGACAATTATACTCCACCCAGTGACATTTATACTCCACCCAGTGACAATTATACTCCACCCAGTGACAATTATACTCCACCCAGTGACATTTATACTCCACCCAGTGACAATTATACTCCACCCAGTGACAATTATACTCCACCCAGTGACATTTATACTCCACCCAGTGACAATTATACTCCACCCAGTGACAATTATACTCCACCCAGTGACATTTATACTCCACCCAGTGACAATTATACTCCACCCAGTGACATTTATACTCCACCCAGTGACAATTATACTCCACCAAGTGACATTTATACTCCACCTAGAGACAATTATACTCCACCCGGTGACAATTATACTCCACCCAGTGACAATTATATTCCACCCAGTGACATTTATTCTCTACCAAGGGACAATTATACTCCACCCAGTGACAATTATACTTCACTCAGTGACAATTATACTCCACCCAGTGACAATTATACTCCATCCAGTGACATTTATACTCCACCCAGTGACAATTATACTCCACCCAGTGACATTTATATTCCACCCAGTGACAATTATACTCCACTCAGTGACAATTATACTCCACCCAGTTACAATAATACTCCACCCAGTGACATTTATACTCCACCTAGTGACAATTATACTCCACCCAGTGACAATTATACTCCACCCAGTGACATTTATACTCCACCCAGTGACAATTATACTCCACCCAGTGACATTTATACTCCACCCAGTGACAATTATACTCCACCCAGTGACATTTATACTCCACCCAGTGACAATTATACTCCACCCAGTGACATTTATACTCCACCCAGTGACAATTATACTCCACCCAGTGACAATTATACTCCACCCAGTGACATTTATACTCCACCCAGTGACAATTATACTCCACCCAGTGACATTTATACTCCACCCAGTGACAATTATACTCCACCCAGTGACAATTATACTCCACCCAGTGACAATTATACTCCACCCAGTGACATTTATACTCCACCCAGTGACAATTATACTCCACCCAGTGACATTTATACTCCACCTAGTGACAATTATACTCCACCCAGTGACAATTATACTCCACCCAGTGACATTTATACTCCACCCAGTGACAATTATACTCCACCCAGTGACAATTATACTCCACCCAGTGACATTTATACTCCACCCAGTGACAATTATACTCCACCCAGTGACAATTATACTCCACCCAGTGACAATTATACTCCACCCAGTGACATTTATACTCCACCCAATGACAATGATACTCGACCCAGTGATATTTTTACTTCACCCAGTGACAATTATAAAAGCTTTAACTGGCTGCCTTTTTCAAAAAGTTCCTAAACACGATCATTAAGATTGTATGTAGAAAGTTATAAATAGACTGGTCCCTAAATATCTTCGCAATTTTAATTAAGTATACTACGGATGCCTAGACAAAATTTACAAGGTCAATGTCTAACAACTTGTTGATTTGCCTACCTTTATTTCAAACAAACGTATTTAAGAGTTCTTTTACCAACAAAGGATCATGTATGTGGAATACTGTATATTTATAACGAAACTTCGACATTGTCTTTTAAACGGAGAGAAAGACATTTATTTTGTATGGATTATTTTAAGTAGGGGATACTTCAAATTGTTCATTTTTCAACTTTCCGTAAATTACTATACATTTTAGAATACCTTTTGATCAATTGTAAGATGATTTTCTCAACACATTATTTTACCGTCATTTTCTCAGAGAAAATATGCAAAAGGCGACCGCTGGGGTGAATCCTACTGATCCAGAGGCAACACAAGCCTTCTAGTCCATTCATTGGAAAATATCAAACTAATTGCAACAGAGTTAGGGGCTTTGAGTCAGGAACTATATATAAAATGTATATCTGTATATAGACATTACCTGCGCGTGAGTGGCAACAGTCAAATTTTACAGGCAAAATCACTTTCCTTTTCCCTTAAGATAATTGAATGTCAAGATTTTTGTTTTGTATTGTTTTACGATCCATCGACAATGTTAGTCATTTAGGGCCATGGATATCGATAAAACGGTCGATGTTGCTATGGTTCCTTTCAAACAGGAGGATATTCTTAACATGTTAGCGTAAAAATAATGAATATTATGAAATATTGGACAAACATTTGAAAACGAGTTATCGTTTATCAAAATCAATTTATGATGCATTAAGTATGCATTGAAATTTCTTTCCTTTTATTAAGAAAACCAGGGATGGTTTGAAACAATTGTCATGGAACTCTCAAAATTGATACAGGTGCGGAGGATACAGATGATACAGGTGTGGAGAACACCTATGATACAGGTGCGGAGGATACAGATGATACAGGTGTGGAGGACACAGGTGATACAGGTGTGGAGGACACAGGTGATACAGGTGCGGAGGATACAGATGATACAGGTGTGGAGAACACCTATGATACAGGTGTGGAGGATACAGATGATACAGGTGTGGAGGACACAGATGATACAGGTGTGGAGGACACAGATGATACAGGTGTGGAGGACACAGATGATACAGGTGTGGAGGACACAGATGATACAGGTGTGGAGGACACAGATGATACAGGTGTGGAGGACACAGATGATACAGGTGTGGAGGACACAGATGATACAGGTGTGGAGGACACAGATGATACAGGTGTGGAGGACACAGATGATACAGGTGTGGAGGACACAGATGATACAGGTGTGGAGGACACAGATGATACAGGTGTGGAGGACACAGATGATACAGGTGTGGAGGACACAGATGATACAGGTGTGGAGGACACAGATGATACAGGTGTGGAGGACACAGATGATACAGGTGTGGAGGACACAGATGATACAGGTGTGGAGGACACCTATGATACAGGTGTGGAGGACACAGATGATACAGGTGTGGAGGACACCTATGATACAGGTGTGGAGGACACAGATGATACAGGTGTGGAGGACACAGATGATACAGGTGTGGAGGACACAGATGATACAGGTGTGGAGGACACAGATGATACAGGTGTGGAGGACACAGATGATACAGGTGTGGAGGACACAGATGATACAGGTGTGGAGGACACAGATGATACAGGTGTGGAGGACACAGATGATACAGGTGTGGAGGACACAGATGATACAGGTGTGGAGGACACAGATGATACAGGTGTGGAGGACACAGATGATACAGGTGTGGAGGACACAGATGATACAGGTGTGGAGGACACAGATGATACAGGTGTGGAGGACACAGATGATACAGGTGTGGAGGACACAGATGATACAGGTGTGGAGGACACAGATGATACAGGTGTGGAGGACACAGATGATACAGGTGTGGAGGACACAGATGATACAGGTGTGGAGGACACAGATGATACAGGTGTGGAGGACACAGGTGATACAGGTGTGGAGGACACAGATGATACAGGTGTGGAGGACACAGATGATACAGGTGTGGAGGACACAGGTGATACAGGTGTGGAGGACACAGATGATACAGGTGTGGAGGACACAGATGATACAGGTGTGGAGGACACAGGTGATACAGGTGTGGAGGACACAGATGATACAGGTGTGGAGGACACAGATGATACAGGTGTGGAGGACACAGGTGATACAGGTGTGGAGGACACAGATGATACAGGTGTGGAGGACACAGGTGATACAGGTGTGGAGGACACAGGTGATACAGGTGTGGAGGACACAGATGATACAGGTGTGGAGGACACAGGTGATACAGGTGTGGAGGACACAGGTTATACAGGTGTGGAGGACACATGTGATACAGGTGTGGTGGATACAGATGTGGAGGACGTAGATGATACAGGTGCGGAGGACACAGGTGATACAGGTGTGGTGGATACAAATGTGGAGGACGTAGATGATACAGATGTGGAGGACGTAGATGATACAGATGTGGAGGACACAGGTGATACAGGTGTGGGGTACATATATGATACAGGTGTGGAGGACACAGGTGATACAGGTGTGGAGGACACATATGATACAAGTGTGGAGGACACAGGTGATACAGGTGTGGTGGATACAAATGTGGAGGCCTAGATGATACAGATGTGGAGGACACAGGTGATACAGGTGTGGAGGATACAGGTGATACAGGTGATACAGGTATGGAGGACATAGATGATACAGGTGTGAAGGATACAGGTGATACAGGTATTGAGGATACAGGTGATACAGGTGTGGAGGATTTGACAACGACGCCATTTCAACACGCCGACTGTGCTGCTTGACTCTATGACGCCAGTCTGTATAACAAGACGAACGCAGAAAAGAAAACTTCCGGTGTAACGCTGAAAATAGACCCCGTTGATAATGGCCAAACGAGAGGATAGATTCTTGTAAACAAAACCATTTCCGTGAAACCAAACAGGTATTGACTGTTTTCCCTTTCCAAGTGTTATCCGAAGAAACATTTATAAAGGTAGCACGTTGTGATCAACCTAATAACCAGCATAATTCGATCAGAACACAAAATACCCTATTGAAATCTACAGTGAAACCCTTTCGGACCCAATAATTTCTGAGGGATCAAACATGGTGAGTGAATGTATGAAGTCTCGACAAACCAGACCAAACAGCTAGAGGCAGCAAGAAAATGAAAGCTAAATATTACAAAATTAGCGCCCTACATTTGGAACTAAAACAACACAATGGAACACAAGTTGACATTCAAATCGAAATCGACAACCAAATATGGAAAATAGCTACATGAAAAACAAAATAAACAGCTGGGAGAGAAACCAACGACCCCGACACTGAAAACGATTTCACCAACACGTAGAACACAAAGTCACCCTAATGCCGGTCACCGTTCGCGTAACATGAACACTTTCCGTGCCAAAATCATTCCAAAACCGTGCCTCAACTCTAACGAGATCTGAGCAAAACGGAAACAATTTCACAATCAAAACCATTGCACTTCTGCATATCAAAACAGCGGATATATGTTTTTTTCGAGATGAGGACGTCTCGTTTTCAGAACCGGAGGGAAATAAATACATAACAAGGATTTTGCAACTTTCTATTTTTTGTGTGTGTTATTAGAATGCAATCAATATACCAAAGTGTAGACTATTTATCACCGACTTTTTACACGTGATCACTCGACTAACACACTTTATCGAATTATATGATATATACTCCATTGTCACAATCCTATGTCTCAATATACACCTCGTAAAACCCATCCTATGTATCAATCTACACCTCGTTTTCTCTGACATACTCATCATGGAATTCCATAGGGGTATAACTGGTTTTAACCAATATTACAATACTCTAAGTTATTATCTAGTTTTTAACTATGTAAATCCTCAACATAGGATGTAAACTTATTTGTTACCTGTACTTTTTGTACTTTTAAATTATGTTTGTTTACGAAACGCTAAAAGTACTTTTTTCTGTATTGTGGAGCCTCATGTCTGATGTATAACATACGCAGCACTAAACCTTCCTTCGCCAATGTGTATAGGACCCCTCCCAATGTATCTAAACACCCTCCCCGCCAGCACTTCATACAAACATGTGTGAGTATATCCTAGTCCTGAACCAGAGAGCACCCTCCTAGATGTTTCAAAACAAACAAGTCATATTTATATATAAATATAATACTGGACATTATCTCATTGTATTCCAACATGTCTGTGTCACCTATCTCGTACTCAATATAGACTACTGCGCACCAACGTATAGATCCAAGATTTGACGGAATGCCTGAGCACAGGGGTTAGTTTCTGATTATAAGACAGAAAAAATATGTTGAGGTGAATTCAGAAACGAACCCCTGTGACCTGAGTCAAGTGTGTGATAAGTTAAGCACTTACCTCAACTTATGTTCAAAAACAGTGCTGTAAAGTTTTCTGGTGCGGCCGTATGGCGTTACATTGAGTCCGTTTGTGACCTATGGAACATCGTGTTATATAGAAGATTAGTAGATCCCAGAACGATTTTCACCCTTGAAGCATGGCTAACACACTGCCTAAGCAGACTATAGTACAGTCATCGAAGTATGTTGTCTGCAGTTCCTAGACCGACACAGGAATCAGCGCAGCATCATATACAACATCAACGATGGAATGCCTGTAGTTTCAGCAGCAGTATACATAACTACGGTAGCCCGGTAGTGTAAGGACAAGTATACATAACTATGGTAGCCCTGTATGGTTAGGACCAGTATACATAACTACGGTAGCCCTGTAGTGTTAGGACCAGTATACATAACTATGGTAGCCCTGTAGTGTTAGGACCAGTATACATAACTACGGTAGCCCTGTAGTGTTAGGACCAGTATACATAACTATGGTAGCCCTGTAGTGTTAGGACCAGTATACATAACTATGGTAGCCCTGTAGTGTTAGGACCAGTATACATAACTATGGTAGCCCTGTAGTGTTAGGACCAGTATACATAACTATGGTAGCCCTGTAGTGTTAGGACCAGTATACATAACTATGGTAGCCCTGTAGTGTTAGGACCAGTATACATAACTATGGTAGCCCTGTAGTGTTAGGACCAGTATACATAACTATGGTAGCCCTGTAGTGTTAGGACCAGTATACATAACTATGGTAGCCCTGTAGTGTTAGGACCAGTATACATAACTATGGTAGCCCTGTAGTGTTAGGACCAGTATACATAACTATGGTAGCCCTGTAGTGTTAGGACCAGTATACATAACTATGGTAGCCCTGTAGTGTTAGGACCAGTATACATAACTATGGTAGCCCTGTAGTGTTAGGACCAGTATACATAACTATGGTAGCCCTGTAGTGTTAGGACCAGTATACATAACTATGGTAGCCCTGTAGTGTTAGGACCAGTATACATAACTATGGTAGCCCTGTAGTGTTAGGACCAGTATACATAACTATGGTAGCCCTGTAGTGTTAGGACCAGTATACATAACTATGGTAGCCCTGTAGTGTTAGGACCAGTATACATAACTATGGTAGCCCTGTAGTGTTAGGACCAGTATACATAACTATGGTAGCCCTGTAGTGTTAGGACCAGTATACATAACTATGGTAGCCCTGTAGTGTTAGGACCAGTATACATAACTATGGTAGCCCTGTAGTGTTAGGACCAGTATACATAACTATGGTAGCCCTGTAGTGTTAGGACCAGTATACATAACTATGGTAGCCCTGTAGTGTTAGGACCAGTATACATAACTATGGTAGCCCTGTAGTGTTAGGACCAGTATACATAACTATGGTAGCCCTGTAGTGTTAGGACCAGTATACATAACTATGGTAGCCCTGTAGTGTTAGGACCAGTATACATAACTATGGTAGCCCTGTAGTGTTAGGACCAGTATACATAACTATGGTAGCCCTGTAGTGTTAGGACCAGTATACATAACTATGGTAGCCCTGTAGTGTTAGGACCAGTATACATAACTATGGTAGCCCTGTAGTGTTAGGACCAGTATACATAACTATGGTAGCCCTGTAGTGTTAGGACCAGTATACATAACTATGGTAGCCCTGTAGTGTTAGGACCAGTATACATAACTATGGTAGCCCTGTAGTGTTAGGACCAGTATACATAACTATGGTAGCCCTGTAGTGTTAGGACCAGTATACATAACTATGGTAGCCCTGTAGTGTTAGGACCAGTATACATAACTATGGTAGCCCTGTAGTGTTAGGACCAGTATACATAACTATGGTAGCCCTGTAGTGTTAGGACCAGTATACATAACTATGGTAGCCCTGTAGTGTTAGGACCAGTATACATAACTATGGTAGCCCTGTAGTGTTAGGACCAGTATACATAACTACGGTAGCCCTGTAGTGTTAGGACCAGTATACATAACTTCGGTAGCCCTGTAGTGTTAGGACTAGTATACATAACTATGGTAGCCCTGTAGTGTTAGGATAAGTATACATAACTATGGTAGCCCTGTAGTGTTAGGACCAGTATACAAAACTATGGCAGCCCTGTAGTGTTAGGACCAGTATACATAACTAAGGTAGCCCTGTAATGTTAGGATCAGAATACATAGCTATGGCAGCCCTGTAGTGTTAGGACCAGTATACATAACTATGGTAGCCCTGTAATGTTAGGATCAGAATACATAGCTATGGCAGCCCTGTAGTGTTAGGACCAGTATATATAACTATGGTAGCCCTGTAGTGTTAGGACCAGTATACATAACTACGGTAGCCCTGTGGTGTTAGGACCAGTATACATAACTGTGGTAGCCCTGTAGTGTTAAGACCAGTATACATAACTATTGTAGCCCTGTAGTGTTAGGGCCAGTATACATAACTATGGTAGCGCTGGAGTGTTAGGACCAGTATACAAAACTATGGCAGCCCTGTAGTGTTAGGGCCAGTATACATAACTATGGTAACATAGCTATGGCAGCCCTGTAGTGTTAGGACCATTATACATAACTATGGTAGCGCTGGAGTGTTAGGACCAGTATACATAACTATGGTAGCCCTGTAATGTTAGGATCAGTATACATAGCTATGGCAGCCCTGTAGTGTTAGGACCAGTATACATAACTATGGTAGCCATGTAGTGTTAGGACAAGTATACTTAACTATGGTAGCCATGTAGTGTTGGGACCAGTATACATAACTATGGCAGCCCTGGAGTGTTAGGACCAGTATACATACCTATGGGAGCGCCGTAGTGTTAGGACCAGTATACATAACTATGGGAGCCCTGTAGTGTTAGGATCAGTATACATAACTATGGTAGCCCTGTAGGGTTAGGACCAGTATACATAACTATGGTAGCGCCGTAGTGTTAGGACCAGGATACATAACTATGGCATCCATGTAGTGTTAGGACCAGTATACATAACTATGGCAGCCCTGTAGTGTTAGGACCAGTATACATACCTATGGTAGCGCCGTAGTGTTAGGACCAGTATACATAACTATGGTAGCCCTGTAGAGTTAGGACCAGTATACTTAACTATGGGAGCCATGTAGTGTTAGGACCAGTATACTTAACTATGGTAACCCTGGAGTGTTAGGACCAGTATACATAACTATGGTAGTCCTTGTAGTGTTAGGATCAGTATACATAACTATGGTAGCCCTGTAGGGTTAGGACCAGTATACATAACTATGGTAGCGCCGTAGTGTTAGGACCAGTATACATAACTATGTAGAGTTAGGACCAGTATACTTAACTATGCTAGCCAAGTAGTGTTAGGACCAGTATACATAACTATGGTAGCCATGTAGAGTTAGGACCAGTATACTTAACTATGGTAACCCTGTAGTGTTAGGACCAGTATACATAACTATGGTAGCCCTTGTAGTGTTAGGATCAGTATACATAACTATGGTAGCCCTGTAGTGTTATGACCAGTATAAATAACTACGGTAGCCCTGTAGTGTTAGGACCAGTACTATGGCAGCCCTGTAGTGTTAGGATCAGTATACATAACTATGGCAGCCCTGTATGGTTAGGACCAGTATACATAACTTCGGTAGCCCTGTAGTGTTAGGACCAGTATACATAACTATGGTAGGCCTGTAGTGTTAGGATCAGTATACATAACTATGGCAGCCCTGTATTGTTAGGACCAGTATACATAACTTCGGTAGCCCTGTAGTGTTAGGACCAGTTAGCCCTGTAGTGTTAGGACCAGTATACATAACTACCGTAGCCCTGTAGTGTTAGGACCAGTATACATAACTACGATAGCCCTGTAGTGTTAGGACCAGTATACATAACTATGGTAGCCCTGTAGTGTTAGGACCAGTATACATAACTACGATAGCCCTGTAGTGTTAGGACCAGTGTACATAACTATGGCAGCCCTGTAGTGTTAGGACCAGTATACATAACTACGGTAGCCCTGTAGTGTTAGGACCAGTATACATAACTATGGTAGCCCTGTAGTGTTAGGACCAGTATACATAACTATGGTAGCCCTGTAGTGTTAGGACCAGTATACATAACTATGGTAGCCCTGTAGTGTTAGGACCAGTATACATAACTATGGTAGCCCTGTAGTGTTAGGACCAGTATACATAACTATGGTAGCCCTGTAGTGTTAGGACCAGTATACATAACTATGGTAGCCCTGTAGTGTTAGGACCAGTATACATAACTATGGTAGCCCTGTAGTGTTAGGACCAGTATACATAACTATGGTAGCCCTGTAGTGTTAGGACCAGTATACATAACTATGGTAGCCCTGTAGTGTTAGGACCAGTATACATAACTATGGTAGCCCTGTAGTGTTAGGACCAGTATACATAACTATGGTAGCCCTGTAGTGTTAGGACCAGTATACATAACTATGGTAGCCCTGTAGTGTTAGGACCAGTATACATAACTATGGTAGCCCTGTAGTGTTAGGACCAGTATACATAACTATGGTAGCCCTGTAGTGTTAGGACCAGTATACATAACTATGGTAGCCCTGTAGTGTTAGGACCAGTATACATAACTATGGTAGCCCTGTAGTGTTAGGACCAGTATACATAACTATGGTAGCCCTGTAGTGTTAGGACCAGTATACATAACTATGGTAGCCCTGTAGTGTTAGGACCAGTATACATAACTATGGTAGCCCTGTAGTGTTAGGACCAGTATACATAACTATGGTAGCCCTGTAGTGTTAGGACCAGTATACATAACTATGGTAGCCCTGTAGTGTTAGGACCAGTATACATAACTATGGTAGCCCTGTAGTGTTAGGACCAGTATACATAACTATGGTAGCCCTGTAGTGTTAGGACCATTATACATAACTATGGTAGCCCTGTAGTGTTAGGACCAGTATACATAACTATGGTAGCCCTGTAGTGTTAGGACCAGTATACATAACTATGGTAGCCCTGTAGTGTTAGGACCAGTATACATAACTATGGTAGCCCTGTAGTGTTAGGACCAGTATTCATAACTTTGGTAACCCTGTAGTGTGTGGACCAGTATACATAACTATGGTAGCCATGTAGTGTTAGGACCATTATACATAACTATGGTAGCCCTGTAGTGTTAGGACCAGTATACATAACTATGGTAGCCCTGTAGTGTTATGACCAGTATAAATAACTACGGTAGCCCTGTAGTGTTAGGACCAGTATACATAACTATGGCAGCCCTGTAGTGTT